TAAGGACATCATCCGGGTAAGCCATCGGTGTTAGCCTCGGGGGTCCCTCCGTCGCAGCCCGTCAAGTGAAGCTTGTAAACTCTTCCCTTCGCTTCAGTTGGATCAGGTGGAGTTGTCAGACGGAGGGGAGCACCCAACCACTTTTGACTTAATCGCTGCGCCGGCCCCCCACGTCAGGTATACTTTGCAAGCCCGAGACCCCGAAACGAAAAAGGCCTGGCTGGACCAGGTCCGGCAGGTAGTCGCCGACGTCAGTGAGTCCTTTGGAATTTTTTCTTAGATATTAGAATACCATCGATGATACACTTCTTCCCCGGTGGGTGCAATTTCGTGATGTTCCGTTGGGTTCTGCAGAGGAACTAGAGGAATTGGTTTTGCAAGATGACCTTCAAGTCGTGAACGGGGAGGAGGAAAAGGGATCGGAGGACCTATCCCAGGAACCCAAACCGACCGAGAAGCAGCCAGGGCCAGAATCAAAGGGGAAACAGAAAGAAAAAGTAAAGGAAAAGGAAAAGGAAAAGGAAAAGGAAAAAGAAGAGAAAGAGAAGGACGACCAGGGAGGAAAGGCGAAAAAGAGGAAGGAATCCCGGCGAGAGAAAGAAGAGCCAGCCGAGAAGGCGCAGAAGCAGGAATCGAAGATGCCCGCGGAAAAAACCGCGAAGGCACCGGCCAGCCAGCACGGCTCGGGTAAGACGCTGCATTTCCGTCATCGACCTGCTTCTCTCTCAGTTCCCTGTGTTGCCGGTGTCTGGCACGCATGTTCGCTTCAGACGAAGCTTCCGTGCGATAGGCGGTGTAGCGATGCAGTCCAGTCTGGTTGTCGTTCTAACTTGTGAAAAAAAGGGCGTTCGTGGACTCTCCCCACAGATGATGAGCTGGGGGTCCGGCCGCGTTTCACGAAAACCCTACGAGGAGTTCACATCGAACGTAAGTTCTCCACCCTGCATGCTCTGCTTAAGGTGCTAGACCGAATAATCCAGACATTACGTAAAACGTGAGTCTAACCGACATCGCTTCGCTTCTTTCTCGACGAGAGCGACGTATTAATGCTTCGTCTGCTTCGCATCACTGACAAAATCGAGAAGTGCAAAAAAAAATACCCCCGATTTCGACCCCACCCCCATCTCGATCTCCCGTCCCCCAGCCGGCGATTCTGCCGTGTTCGAATGCGCGGTGCAGGGGACCCCGGCCGTCGCCGTCTCCTGGCTCCGGAACAATCTACCCCTGGACGACCGGCTCGCTGACCGGGTGGAGCAGACCCAGAACGGCGATCAGTTCCAGCTCGTCCTTCGCCACTGCCGGCCCTCAGACGCCGGGCTCGTCACGGCCAGGGCTTCGTCGTCCGCCGGGTGCTCCACTTGCTCCGCCCAGCTCCTCGTCGACGAAAATGGTCTGCTTTCTTTGTTCCTCGCATATGTTGCCGTTCAAGGGTAAAATATTATTTTTAAAATTTGCCATCGGCTAAGGAGCTACCTCTGTCTTTTGTGGGGTAATTTTATGTACGCAGTGAGCCAAAAGTCTGCAAAAGCAATGCAGAAGGGTAACATAAGAAAAGCAAAAATTGATCCACGAAAGGGTTAAATGTGGGAGTGAAAGCTGTAGGATGCTTGGCACACACACAATCCTTCACATAACCTCATAGGAAGAAATCCATTAGGGTTAAGTCAAGTAGGCCATTCTATTGCACTTCAGTATAACAACAATTCAAAATTGGCGAAATTTCAGGTTTAAATTAAAAAAATGAGTACTTACTTTTTGTGTTCAAAAGTAAGGTAAATGAC